CAAGACTAGGTAATCTATAAAGGAGAGAGGTCCAATCAACTCACAGTTTAGCATGGCTGGGGAGGCCTCAGGAAACTTATAATCATGGCAGAAGGCAAAGAGGAAGCAAGGCACCTTTTTCATAAGGCAGCAGGAAGGAGAATGAATGCAGGAGGAACTGCCAAACACATAAAACCATCAGATCTCGTGAGAACGCACTATTGTGAGAACAGCATGGGGTAAACCACTCCCTTGAGTCAATTACCTCCACCTGGTCTCCCTCTTGACACATGGGGATTATGGGGATTATAATTCAAGATGAGATTTAGTTGGGGACACACAGGCCTAACCATATCACTAGGTAAACTATTAAAATAATTAGGTAAATGTAATGGAATAAATACTTGTAAACAAACTTGTCATAAATTAGAATCTAAAGTTAAATTAAATATTTCATTAAATGCCTAGGTATTTTCCAGTTAAAAAAATTACAGTGTAGGAGAACATTCTAAAAAATATGTTCTTATTAAAAGGTGAATAATTTTTGTCTATTCAAAGCTTATTTAAATGTTATGTGTAAAACAAGGTAAGAGGAACTAGGAAATAAGAGACATGCAAAGAAAGTTATAGAAAATAAAGAGGTATTTTTGGTAAGAAAGCTTAAAATAATTTTATATGAGAAAGAGTCTTGTATGGTGAATTTTTGTTCTAAAATAAAATGGGCTGGGTGTGGTGGCTCACGCCTGTAATCCTAGCACTTTGGGAGGCTGAGGCGGGTGGATCACGAGGTCAGGAGATCGAGACCATCCTGGCTAACACAGTGAAACTCCATCTTTACTAAAGAATACAAAAAAATTAGCCAGGCATAGTGGCGAGCGCTTATAGTCCCAGCTACTCGGGAGGCTGAGGCAGGAGAATGGCGTGAACTCAGGAGGCGGAGGTTGTAGTGAGCTGAGAGTGCCACTGCACTCCAGCCTGGGCGACAGCGCAAGACTCTGTCTCAAAAATTAAAAAAATAAATAAATAAATAAAATAAAATAAATAAAATAAAATAAAATAAAATAAAATGAATGGATTGTTCAAGAAAGAGGAATATTTAGGACAAGCCAAAAGTCCAAGCATGTTGTAAATGGTCTAAGTTGTAATAAGGTTGGTAAAAAAGGAATTTATAAAAATGCAATTAATTGGCTATAATTAAAGGAAATTATAGTAAATAGTTTTTCTAAAAATTGAATTTTGATATTAAAAATACACTCACAAAAATCTAAAGAATTGGTTAAAACAAGATTTCATTTAAAATAGAGTTACTTAATGTAATATGGTTAGGCTTTGTGTCCCATTTTCATCTTGAATTTTAATTTAACATCCCTCCCAGGTATTGAGGGGAGAGACCTGGTGGTGGGTGATTGGATCATGGGGGTGGTTTCCCCCATGCTGTTCTTGTGATAGTGAGGGAGTTCTCCCGAGATCTGATGATTTTATAAATGGCAGTTTCCCCTGGGCTTTTCATGTTCTCTCTCTAGGCAGCTGCCATTTAAGACGTGCCTGCTTTCCCTTCCACCATGATTTTAAGTTTCATGAGGCCTCTCCAGCCATGCAGAACTGTGAGTCAATTAAACTTCTTTTTTTTTTAAATTACCCAGTCTTGGGGAATTCTTTAACGCAGTGTGAAAATGGACTAATACACAATGCAGGATGTTTTTAATTTTTAAATTCTATAACCTATTTCTTTTTGAAATTATTCAGATTGATGTCTCAGAAGCTGTATCCTGCTATTTCACTATCTTCTCTCTTTTGAGAAGGCCTGGGATGGTAACTCTCTCCTTCAACTTTTGTTGTAACTTTTAAAATTAATAGTCTAAAGTAAGGGTGAAAATTTTTGAAAATGGGTGAATGAGAAATCTTTTGGGTCTGCTTTTGCCTGCTTTGCCTGTTATATCTATATGTTTGCATGTATCACAAGGAAGTTACATTTCACCATTAAACTAAACTGTAGGAAAGAGTTCTAATGATTTGACTTGAAGAAAACTAACAACTCATCAGACTGATAGAACCTAGCTCAGATCCCCTTTAATTCATGACTTTGGCAGTCTTTGGTAAGATTAATTTGGTAAATTTAATCTCAAAATTCTCTGCAATAGTTTAAAATCTTAAAGTGATGTTATGTTAAATTAAGTAACCTTAGGTTTTTTTTCCCCACTAGGAGTTTGGGTTACTAAGAGTTAAAATAATAGGAGCGTAAAAGGTGTTTTTGGTGAAGTTTGTACAACACAAGGATGTGGTTCTTGCTAAAAAAAAGTGTAATTTTCTGTAATTTTTTTCTAGCTAAGAAACCATTTAAGAGTCACTTTAAGATAAAGGAAAAATTACAGAGATAAAACTAAATGGATAAAAAGAAAAAAATTAAGCCAGGGCAACAAAAGTTGCCTCTGAGGTTACAGAGAAGATAGTCAATGTGAGGGAAGGGCAAAACCGAGTAACTATTAAACCATAGGGTATAATGTAAGGGAATTGTCCCATTTTGTAGGTTGGTGTCATCAACTTCTTGAGAAACCTTTACTATAATGGATAGTAAAAATATTACATAACTACTTTTAGGACAATTCCTTAATTTTAAATGCTACAGAAGGAAAAAGCTTGTTTGGGTTGATGTAAGACCCACAGCTCACTATTAAACAATCACTGATAACTACATGTGATCCAAATGTACAGGAGGTTATTACTGAGAAAACAACCAGCCTAGTGGCCACTGTAAGATCTGTTTTCCCTGAAAAGGGGACTGCCTGACTGGCCTATAAAATACCAAGTGCAGCACCCCAAATGAAGCACTTAATATGCTTCATATGTGAGCCATGTGGGACTGGCTTTATGATGACCAAGATATTCTCCCACTGAATATGCCTATTATCCACGTCATGGTAAACCTGGAGGTTAAGGGGACCCATTTTTACATGGATGCCCCTCCCACAGAATCATGCAACTGTTTGAGAGGCCTTATCAAATTTGCTATCCCTCGTGGGGCATAACACATTGAAGTAAGTAATTAAAAAAAAAAAAAAAGAGAAAGGAAAAACAGAGTCGAAGGACTCTCCCCAGAAGGGGTGATGGAAATATCACCCTTTTTGGATGGTTATTCACTATTTTCCCCAGATTGGGAAATTTAAAAAAAAAATCAAAAGGCAAAGGTTATCATGAGAAAGCTGACATTGCCTAGGGCAATGCTGGGGCAAATTAAGATAAAAAATTGGCAAAAGAGCCTGAGTCCCTTGGCTCAACTCCCTGCTGGGAACCCAAGCCTTTTTTCACCAGAAAAGGTAAAATAGTCTGTGGGTAGAAAAGAAAAGTTCCTGTGACCAGAACATAAAAATGTACAGATTGGCCGGATGTGGTGGCTCACACCTGTAATCCCAGCACTTTGGGAGGCCAAGGCAGGTGGATCATGAGGTCAAGAGATGGAGACCATCCTGGACAACATGGTGAAACTCTGTCTCTCTTAAAAATACAAAAATTAGCTGGGCTTGGTGGCTCAGCTACTCGGGAGGCTGAGGCAGGAGAATAGCTTGAACGTGGGAGTTGGAGGTTGTCGTGAGCTGAGATTGTGCCACTGCACTCCAGCCTAGTGACAGAACAAGACTGTGTTCCCCCCCACCCAAAAAAATCACAGGTTGAAAGGATTATGAAATTTGAGATGTTTACATAAACAGGCTTTATGTAAGGTAGTTGTAACTCCTTTACCTAAATGTCTTATGAAAATGGTTATTGTCTGGGAGGTGGAGGTTGCAGTGAGCCAAGATGGTGCCATTGCACTACAGCCCAGGCAACGAACTAAACTCCATCTAAAAAAAAAAAAAGAAAAGAGAAAATGGGTATTGTATCTAATTGGGGTGTGTTTTCCCTATCTAGTGCCATAAAACTGAAGGCATGTAAATCTGCTCTTTCAGAAATGTTAATTGTACATGCCAAATGGGAACTAGTAAGATTGCCTGAGCCCACAAAGTGTAGGGTAGAAGCTGGAGTGCTAGTCGAACAAATCCACCACTTTATAGCCCTTTGTGGAGCATTTATTCGTGCTGATGGCAAAAGACTGTGGGCACTTCCCAATGACAATGACTGGGCTAGAGAATTTCTGCTTGAGAGGCATTTACTGCCTTGCTATGGAATGTTAACTGAAGCTACCCTATGCCAATGGAAATAATGGTGCCCAAAGGAGTTCCATGACAAAATAAAAATGGTTTACATAAGATCTTGCTACCTGGGGATACAAGGAGGAGACACTCATGAGCAGGAAGCCTCTTTTTTTTTTTTTTTTTTTTTTTCCTCCTAGGACTGATTCTAACTATGTGAGGAGCTGCTAGATTCTACAGTGCCTGGTAGACAACTCTCATTAGCTGTTTGACTTGTGAATGGCAGTTCCAAGGTGAACAAACATCCTGTTTGAAAGCTGCTGTTATGGTTAAAGAAGAGTCAAACAAATCTTTTTCTTTTGAGTTATTTATAGTTTAAAGCAACTGAGTGAAGTATGTGTTTGTAAGCAAATTTTCCTTTCTATCTATCTGAGTTCTCCAAAATTTGGATTGTGAGTTTATGACAACATAGTCATTTGCATAAGCTTAGTAAGAGTCTTTTAAAACAGAGCAATTGGAGACACTGGTTATTTTGCCAAGGCTTTGACTAGAATAACATATTTGTAGGTAAAGTTCCAGCAAAGTCAACCTAATAGGAGCCTATATGGTCAAACAATTCTTGCTGCACTTCATATGAATAATCAGGCAGATTATAATAAGCCTAAAACTTATTTTGTACACAAATTTCAGCCCTGACTTTTGTTTTTGAGCACAGATTGAACAATGAATTATTTCTTGGCTACAATAATCCTCTAAAGAGTACCAGATTATAATTTTTCTTCATATTTTTAGTTGGTACTCTAATAGAATAGCTCCCTCTTTCTGTTCTGACACACAAATATTCTTTTGATTGTCAAAATATTTATGTTATTTATCTCTCCTTGTTCTATTTCCTAGGAAACCAAAATCATGGTACTCTGAAGACCAGAGATGTGAATCTCCCTCATTTGGCATCCCACTGGGCTGGATCTGTTATTCACTGAAAATGCCCTGCTGCTAAGACTATATAAGCACCCTCTCTCTAAGCCCAGGGACTGTTGTGGACGAGGTGGATGCGTGAGATGGTTAAGGGTTGGTTTTAAGGGATAGAATTAGGTTAAGGTCAGGCCCTCCAAATCAAGGATGAGTACAAAAACATGTAAACAGATGGTAAAATAAAGTACTTTGTCTTCTGAAGCTATTATGTGTCACCTTTGCATCCATCCCAACCAAGAAGAATTTCCTGGCTGGGCGTGGTGGCTCACGCCTGTAATCCCAGCACTTTGGTAGGCCAAGCTGGGTGGATCACCTGAGGTCAGGAGTTCAAGACCAGTCTGGCCAACATGGTGAAACCCTGTCTCTACTAAAAATACAAAAATTAGCCGGGCGTTGTGGCACACACCTGTAATCCCAGCTACTCAGGAGGCTGAGACAGGAGAATTGCTTGAACACAGGAGGCAGAGATTGTAGTGAGCCAAGATTGCACCGCTGCACTCCCTCCTGGGAAAAAGAGTGAGACTCCGTCTCAAAAAAAAAAAAAAAAAAAAATTCCTACTTCCTGTAGAATTAAAATAATTACTGATAAGATAAAGATACCTTGCGACTTACCCAGCCTCCTGGGTATAATACTCCCAGTGATAAGTTGTGCTGATAGAGATATATAAAATCTTTTTTTGAACAATACTTATGTTTTATATAGCTAATTGCTGTAAGTCCGTAACTAAAACCAAGATTATAGTAGCTTAATGCATAGAAGTTTAAAAATAAGTCAATTTTGTAACCTCTCCTTTGGCTTTTTGTTTGTTCACTTTCTACTTAAAAGAAAAAACAATTTTAAGGGGTGAATGCCTGTCCATGTCCATTCCTATCTAGCCTAGAGCAATTAATTGGCTGTAAGTCTTGTTGAGTGTAAGTCCCTCGGTCATAGGGAGTCCCACTGAGGGACAAGATGGACCTGGAGTAGGCAGCCATGTCACCCAGGCAATGCTATGGAACAAAATCAAAATTGGTGGCCATTGATGTTATCTCTGGCAAATCTTGGCCAGAAGGGGGAGAATGTAAACTAAAAATAAAACTCAAAGGCCTCGCCACCCACACTGCAACCATTTGAATGGACACAACCCCTCGGCCAGAGCACTCTAAAATTTAACCTGAAAGGCTGGTGCAGGTCATGATGGGAAGTGGAGGTCCAACATGCCTCATTATATCCCTCCAGTATTAACATCAACATAAACCTAAGTCTGATAAGAAACATTTACAATCTATTTTCTCTGAAGCCTTCATCTTCATGATAAAACGTAGGTCTCCAAAACCCCTTAGCTTAACCCAAACATTCCTTTCTACCAATAATTACTCTTTCAACCAATTGCCAATCAGAATATGTTTAAATCTAACTATGGCCTGGAAGCCCTGGCCCTGCCTTTGAGTTGTCCCACTCTTCCAGATCCAACCATTGTAAATCCTACACGTACTGACTGATGTATTATGTCTCCCTAAAATGTATAAAGCAAGCTGTACTTCGACCACTTTGGGCACTTCCTCAGGACCTCCTGAGGCTGTATCATGGGTGCATCCTTAACCTTGGCAAAATAAACTTTCTAAATTGATTGAAACTTGTCTCAGATAATTTTTGCTTTACACAGTTTACACCTAGTGGGGGTAGTTTAAGAGACACTTAGGATACATTATCTTGCTTAATCCTCATAGCAACTCTTAAAGGAAGTTGGAAGCTAAGAGATTTGCCCAAAGTGGTAAAGCCAAATCAGGTTTGGTTTAATAGGCAGGCCCTGGCACTGAGGTAGAAGTCTCAGTTTTCTGCTGCCACCTTCCAGAGAGCCAAGAGAACCCACTTTTGCCTTTTAAGGAAAGTGCCCAAAAGTTAGACGAGTTGGGAAGGTGACTACAGTATGCATCCATGAAGGGCTCTCTGGGATCCAATCATGTCTTAGCTTTGTCACTCATTAGCTTTGTAACCTTGGGCAAGTTACTGAGTCTTTCTGACCATAAGTTTTCTCATCTGCTTAAGAGAGTAATAACGCTGTATTGAACTTCTATTGTTTTTTTTCTGAGTAACACCCAGTCCCACTTCTGCTTTTGCTTTCCCTATTCCCAGTTGGGAGAAATGGGGTGTAGGAGGCATGTTACTCTATCTAGCCAGTGACATGCTCTCTGGAAATGAATCTTCAGTGGGATAACCCAAAGATTACATTCCACTGGAGCTCATTCATCTAGAAGCCCTGACAAAAATGTCGCTGGTTTCTGCTCCTCAGACAAGGAGTCTTCTCCGCTCCTGACTAGTTATTTTATGACTAGTTCTGCTTCTCCTTCATTCTGTGAGCTCCCACCACAACCTGCCCCACCAAATCTAATAATTCCCTTTTTGTTTAAGTTAATTAGAGCCAGTTTTTATTGCTTGCGACAACAACAACAACAACAACAACAAAAACATTGATCCAAACACCTACCTTGCAATGTTGTAAAAATTAAATGATACGAAGTGTGTCAAATGCTTAGCCCCGTTCTGGCAAAGTGCAAGCAGTCAGTAAGTGGTGACAGTTGTCTGTAACTCATCACTCGGGGCAGGACACAGGGAGGGAGAGGGGAGATTGTTATTGGTGTGCATTACACTGAGAAAAACCTTCCCCCAAGACATAGAAGGACAAACAGAAGTCCAGGCCATGATATGCTCATTTATTCCAAATGTCTTTATTGAAACAGAATGATAGAGCAAGAAATAATGAGGTCTGGGAGGATGTCTTTGGGTGCAGGATGGAGCCCAGACCCAGTGGTTACAGTGTGGAGCTCTCTCCCTGTCCCCTGACTCTGGCCAAGGAAGTGAACGCAAAGCAACAGGGAGGAGGCAGGGAGGGCACGGCCCTCTGAGCTCTCCGCGATGGCTGGCGTAAGGTACCTCTGAGCCTTCTGGGCAGCCCTGCCTTCCCTACTCAGTCTTCCCGATCTTCTTGCCACATTTCTGTGTGGGCCAGCCTCCCGCCAGGGTACTCAGAGGCCGCTCAGAGGGCAGGGTTAGGGGTGGCAAGCAGCGGGACGTGGTCACAGCGGGTAGGGGGTGGCTGCCGCAGCAGGGAAGGCCGGCGACACAGCTCCCCATCCCGGAGCACCTCCGGCAGGAGCTTGCGCTTGGTTTCCGGCAGCAGCATAATGCTGAGAATGCAGAGGAGGGCGCAGGCCGCCAGCACCACGTGCTGCAGGAAGGCTCCATGGCCCATATGGAGGCGCTGGGCCGGGCCGCTCAGCCCCCCAAGCGCCCCTAGAGCCATGATCAGGCCCAGGCCGCGACCCCTGGGGAAGAAGGAGGAGGAGCTCAGCCCACAGCTGTGGCCTTGCCCTGCCCTTCTCCCACAGCCCCCCCTCCTCCAGCCCACAAGCCGCGTCTTCAGGAGTGGGTTGGGGGAGGGGGAGGCTGAGGGTCCTGGCTCTGCCCCTGGGGGCACCCCTGCTCTCACCGGACAGTGGTGGGGATGACCTCAGCAGCAAGGAGGGTGCTGAGGATGGCGGCAGCTTGGGAGGAGAAGAGCCCAAGGACGGAGAACGTGGTGATGGCAGCCTCGTTCAGATCTGCAGACGCAAAAGGGATGATATGAATGGAGGTGGGGAGGTCAAGGCTCTCATAGTCCTGGGTGTCATCCCCTTGGCTCTCTGTTCCCATGGCTCTAGCTGGGCAGGCTCTGGGCATTCAGTAACTGACTGGGAGAGCAGATGGGGCTGTGCGGCCTGGTGGAGGCATGTGGAAGAGCTGGACAGGGTCTGGGGCTTGTCTTGGGAGGCTTGTGCCAGAAGAAATGGCTGAGCCTGTCTGAAGCACCTCTGTTGGGGATCCCTTGTTGAGCCCACACTGTGGGAAAGGTAGGATGCTCACAATCCCACAGGCCCAGCAGGACCAGGGAAGCAATGCCGGTAAGGGTCATGGAGAGAAGAAGGATGCCCCGGCGGCCAAATCGGTCCACGGTGACCCCCAGGAAGACACAGGCCAGGGCTGCGGTGCCACTGGCCAGCAGAGAGCACAGGTAGAAGTCCGATGGGCTTCCTCCTCCTCCCACAGGCTGGTAGCAGTGGCGAATGGCATGGGCAATGAAGCTGTGAGAAGGGGTGGGGAAGCAAAGAACAGAGTCTGAATCCCCTCGTGCAGCCTTCCACAGTGCTGATGGTCCTCTGCAGGGGTCCTTGGGCCTTCCCACCCGGCCAGCCCCCATTCCAGCTACTGGCCTGGCCCTCAGCCCAGACACCCAGGCTCACTTGGTGAAGCCCAGGATAAGCAGATTTTTCCAGATGTTGCGGTAGTTGAGGAGGGAAGCGAAGGAAAAGGAGGATGTTGCAGGGAGAGGGCAGGTATTCTCCAGGTCTTTGGGAGAGAGAGAGGAGCTGTCAGAAGAAAACCCTGAGAACCCAGGATCCTCCCACATGGGTGGTGGGGACCCTGGGAGAAGGTGGCACAGCTACAACCATGCAGAGGGCACCATCATGTGTGCAAGTGAAGCAACACTCACAGGGACCCCTATCTCTTACCCTGCAGGGCCTCCTGGGCCTCCTCCCCCAGCATCTGCCCATGGGGCCGGTTTCGTTCAGCCAGGATCCTCAGCACAGATTGAGCCTCCTCGATCTGCCGCTTCACTATCAGCCACCGTGCGGACTCCAGGAACAAACCAGGCCAGCTGGGGGCAAGGTGGAAGGGGTATACTGTGAGGTCTCCCTTCTCCTGATCTAGGGGTGGGAAACGTGCACCTCTGAGGGACTGGGGCTGGGGTAGGCCTGGACCAGGGGTGGTTGGAGAAGAGGAGGGGTCTCCAGGCTAGGGCTAGTTTGGAGGCAGAGATGGGAATTGCCAGACGACAGGTGAAGGGCAATACTGACCCATAAAACAGGAAGAGGATGCAGGGAGCGGTGATCATTCGCTGTAGGAATCGCCAATCCTTAGAGACAAGGGCCAGGCCCAGGAACAGGAAGTGCCCTCCCACCCCCACCAACTCCCCTGCCAGGGCCACCCGAAGCCTCTGGGTTGGGTCGCACAGCTCCAGGCCTGGAGATACAGCAGGGGTGGAGAGAGGAGAGGGAGGCCAGGGAGGAAGAAGACATAAGAGAGAAGAGGAGAGAGGGAGGGAGGAGGACAGAGAGTGAGGTCAGACCCAGAGTGGAGGCTGCAGCCATTGCCTCCCTTGCTAACCTCTGGGTGGCAAGGATTGG